ATTTTCGCCGACATGAAAGTTCTGGTGAGTTGGATTATCAGTCTCAAAATAAATAATGGCTTTTTGGACATTTATCAGTCGGCATCTGAAGGTAAGTGCGGTGAAAGCCGAAATATAATTATCGTAATTTTAATCTATTTCTCAGGTTCTCTTCGCTCTGGGTCTGGTCGCCCTGGCCGCCGCCCGACCCTCCGACATCATCGACTTCGAGGAGGACCACATGGAGCACGAGCAGGAGGGCGTGCCGGGAACGGCCGTGGAGGGCGAGTACTCGTGGGTAGCGCCCGACGGCAACGAGTACCACGTCAAGTATGTCGCCGACCGCTTCGGTTACCGCATCGTCGACGACAACGTGGTGCCCAGGATGCGCAGCGACGCCCACGAGGCCGAGGAGGACGATGATTAGAGAGGATATTGTCAAATATTATAGAACATGTATGAGGAAGTAATCAATTAAAGGGACCTGTTTATTTTGTTATATAACTATTCCTTGGAGAGAGAGAGATTGACAGAGAGAGAGAAAGCGAAATAAATGCAGAGAGAAAGAGAGAGAGAGTAATAAAGATATATGATTGATAGAGAGTGAAAAAGAGAGCGGCCTCTAACACTTATAATCAGACAAATGCGGATAACGTAAGTGATGAAAGTAAGATTATGTTTATCTCATTATTGTTTAAGGAAATTACTCAAAAGTGTTTTATAACACTTAATTCCGTGTAGCACTATTTCTTAGCCATGCACCCATGCTATCATTATTACTATCTATACCATTACCTTCATTATCGCAGAAATTTCTTGTTACTGCATTATTACTCTGATTATCTATTAAAACGTAATGACATACTAAACATAGAGAGAATGATCAACTTATGACAGTGCTAATGATAACAAAGATTCAATAATGATGATAGTGATAGTAATAATAATAACGCCGAGTCTCATAACCATTATATCCTAAAAAAAAAAGTCTTTTTGAAGATAACATTTCATTATAAAAAAATAGGTTCGAGGCAGTGACTTTAATAACGTTAATGTTGATCTTGGCAGTGGTAAGGATGGAAATAATAATAATAATGATAATAGTATTGATAATATTGATAATAATAATAATAGTGATAATAATGATAATGATGATAGTAATAATGAAAAAAGTAATAATAATAGCTATAAAAAATAACAGTGACTACAGCCACAATAACGGCACATACAGTGCCAACAACAACGACAGCAGTGATAGTGATGGTGATATAAGCAATTATAATGAAAAAAGTTCAATACTAATGATTATAATGATGACCGTGAAATGAGGATATTGATAATGATATCAGTAATAGTAATAATGATAATAATTACAATAATGATGATTATGATAACGGTAAGGATAATGCTACCACTGCTACCAAGACTATTAATAATAAAAACAATGAAAAAGATAGTGGTAAACAATGATATAAGGATAATATTAGTTATGATAATGTTAATGATAAAAGCAATAGTAATCATGATAATAATAGTAATAATGATTCTTATAAAAGCAAAACTAAGAACAATAATAATGACATTAAGGATTAGATTACTACCATCAATAACCACAATATTGAGAGTATTACTGTTACCATTACTCCTTGAACTAGCAATATTGATAACAACTATCACGATGAGAGTGACAGATGAAGCTATAATAGTAAGATGTTTCCGAGGGAAGTGAAATGCCACACTCCCTGAGCCTGTAAAGCTCCTTTCTGAATAATCTCGTTTACGCTTTTTTGTTTTCTTTTTTCTTTTTCTTTTTTGGTTATCGTATTGATTTGCTTGTTATTCTTATTACTGTTAGCAGCGATATTTGCACATTACTTATAGCATCGTGTACTGTAGAGACAAACAATTATAGGCTGTATGATTGTTTGTTCATTAAGAGAAAGGGGAATGAGAGGAAGAACAGGAGAAAAGAGCAAGAATACAAATCGACACAGAGTCACGGACGATAAAAAAGGCATAAACGGAACACCTGCTCCTCGTGTTGCGTCGTCGTCCTCGTCTGAAGGTTACGTCGTGGGAGTATATATTGTCGTCCAAGCAACAGGCAAGCATCAGTTGCTCTCCTGCACTCGAAAAACATGAAGGTTCTGGTGAGTTCTGTCGCAAGACTCGCTCTATTAAAGGAACTTGCACATACCGTGATATCTACGAACGCTGTTATGATACAAAGGGAAGTGATTATCACAGGGCTAGATACAGTCTGACTGCCGTTATCTTTTCGTAGGTTCTCTTCGCTCTGGGTCTGGTCGCCCTGGCCGCTGCCATGCCCTCCGACATCATCGACTTCGAGGAGGACCACATGGAGCACGAGCAGGAGGGCGTGCCGGGAACGGCCGTGGAGGGCGAGTACTCGTGGGTAGCGCCCGACGGCAACGAGTACCACGTCAAGTACGTCGCCGACCGCTTCGGTTACCGAGTCGTCGAGGACAACGTGGTGCCCAGGATGCGCAGCGACGTGGCT